ACAGTTTTTAATAACATAGCACAGAGAGAACCAGTTGTAAGACAAATGCTGGAAAAACAGTATGTCACTGGTAAACGACTTTTTCCACTTCTAGTTTTGCTATTTTGCCCTTCCTGCCATCACCTTTTCTCCCCTTCGGCCTCATGACCTGACAACAGTTGACTAGGGTTGTTCGCACTTTAACTTCACTGCACATGCTTTAGGTACTTCACAAACCAACCACTAGTTAACTACATGTACATGTAGTGGTCATTGATTGAGCTTGCCCTCGGCTGACCCTGTCTCAAGGAAATACATGTAATATTATTTTTCAGGAAACTTGGGACCGAGTTGGGGGGATAAATACATGTATGTGTCATCATAACAAATATGCCTTCATATTATTCAATGCATGGGTAGCCACCACACATGCATGTACATGTACATGTATGTAGGGGTGTGCATGTAAATGCATGTACATGCACATGTACGTACGTGTCCATGTAGTTCAGAACCCCAAAGGATGTGGAGACACTTCACTCAAGTATCCAATTACCGTAGCTCAGACCAGATTTTCTTAGCAATAATAGGAAAACAATTCTATTGTTTGGACAATTTTCAGTCTTCACCAAAATGCAGCCTTCGCTAGAGCAGGGGTGTACATGTACGGTAATTGTATGAGTGTAAACAAGCATGTGTTACCAGTATGGAAAAGGGAAAACACAAAAAATTGTCATCTACATTGTATCGGTACTTGCATTGTACATTTACCGGTCCATGTACATGTACATTTGTACCTTGTCACACAGGCTCCTTTGAATTGTATTGTAATAAAAATTCTATAGATTCAATTCTGTGGATGAGTCATGTCCAGTAACTATACTACTCTGTGTACATGTATATACATGTACATGTACATGTACACATGTGTGTATTTGTTAATGTAATAAGAGCATGATGTACATGTACAGTACAGTATGTATGCTAAGTGAGAGGCAATTATCTGGTATTACTGGGTGCAGTAATTAAGCTTCATACACGGAGTACATGTACAGTAAAGGAACTTATTAAAAAAAAATAGGTACGGGTACACATGATGTACATGTATGAGAAATGGGTTTGCGGGTACACCATGGAATCAATCTCTTTTGGACCAGGTGTGGTTCTTATAAGAACCGGTGAGTATAAACTCGACGTTTCGGCCAGTGTGCTCTGGCCAGTGTGCTCTGGCCGTCCTCAGGAGAGTTTTTTTTAAGAACCACACCTCATCCAAAAGAGATTGATTCCATGTTGTACCCACAAACCCTTTTGTCATGTTTCATCCACCATGCAAAGCTTCAAATCTAACATATGATGTATGTACATGTCTTTCCAACCTGTGAAGGGCCTATCTGCTTGGAGCTGAAGTGCACCATCAGTCAGCTAAAGAAAGACAGGTGGTTACATGTACATGTACATGTACAAGTGAGTTCTTGTATGTGTTCTGCGTGTATGCAAAGATCTACACACAAGATTTGAACATCACCTGTACTACAGTAGGACTAGTACCGGGTACCAGTTAATGACCAACTGGTACACTAGTGTATATAAGTCCATGGATATAACATATATACATGTACATGTATTATATCTGAGGAGCTCCAGTACAAATCAGTAATAAATGCCTGGGAGATGTACTGTTGATGAAATGATTTTGAAGAAGGACAGCCAGTTCTATGGGCATCTGGCAGTAATACCCGGTATGAGCTGTGTGTATCCATGGTATACGTGGTCATGTACAAATACTGTTATGGTGGCCACTGGATCACAATTGAAGTTTATGGTTTGGTACATGTTTTGTGGCTCCAAGATAAAAATAAAACAACACTGATGGTTCCAAGCGTGCTGTGTGGTTCACAGGTAAAAATACTGTACATGTAATTGTGAACACAATTGCCATTGCACATATGACTTGTGGTGTTTAATACACGAGGCACGTAACATATTACATGTATGATACACTTGTACGTACAAGGGTACATTGTATAAATACCTCATTATACTGTGCATGTACATGCACAAGTGCATGGACCATACACAACCCACTTGTGCTATTGGTGGTGACATGGAGTGCCCATGCACCTTGGAAGTTTGGAACCGTATACATACACTGCTCATGTACATGTTCATTACAGTAGTGGGGGCCATACATACTGGTATGTTCATGAGCAGTATCTTCCACAAGGCTGTCCTTTCTTAAAAGAGTACCGTAGGTTGGTCATACATGTACATGCAAATTTTTTGAAGGCACCAGACACAGGAAGAGCCCTTGAAACCTGGACCACATTTGTTTTCATGAATTTGCCAGTACTACGAAAGTGTACATGTACATGACAAGCTGTAATATTGATTGTACATGTACCGGTATGTCGGTCTTTCTTTTAGTACTATACGGGGGCCATTGTGTATTTCAGGGACATCACAATTATCAAGACCATTTAAGATGACCAGTTTCACTTTCCCGTTTAATTTTCATATGTATTTGTCATTTAGAATGTGTTGATTACATTTAATGCAATTACATTAATTAAAAAATGTTGATTTACACAATAATTGCAAGTGAAAAACCTCATCGTTTCTCACTGGTTTTTCGGTATTCTGTGTGACATTTTTGATGACCTGTTTCATGAGACATTTCATACCATTGGCAAAACAAATAAATTATTTTCTGTCAACAGAAAGGTAGATTATTATATTGGATAAATTTTCAATTGAAATTCATTTTAATTGAGAATACAGGTGCCGTCATAATCTGACATAATGTAACATTTCGTTCCTCCAGTTGTTACGAAGCGAAAATCATTTTTGGCTGTTGAAAACAAACAAAAAGCTGTTGCGATTCATTACGAAAACCTAAAATATCAACTCTAAGTACCCCCCCAATACCTCCTACTACATTTCTGAAGATATCCCTGTCAATTCTCATCAGAAAATATTTTGGTTACTCGCAAAATCGTTACGTTGTAAACAAAAAAGTCTGTGCAACTTCCAACGTTCACCCAAGTTCAGATCATATTGCAAGCCTGCATGCACCGTCACGTGATCATCACATGACACAGACATGCCAAGTTCCCGCCATTCCTTCATCGTTGAGAAATTTTGATCAAAGTTTTCGTTACTCACACATTATGCTGTGACAAAAAGTTACAGGTTGTGGGTTTCTTCTCAAGACATGAAGGTAAAATTTACCTGAAACTTAACTTATTTGCCAAAAAAAGGAGCAAGATAGCCACTGAAAACTAACGAATTAAAAATGAGCGTATGGAAGAAAGGAAACAGTTTCCCCCTTCGAATTGGAAACATTTGTCATCTAGCCGGAAGTCGCCATTTTTTTCATATTGCGGGTTTACCTGTATGCTAATGTTTGTTAACGATGTCACGACATGCCGGCCTAGCGGTCCATTCACAGACAGCAGACATGAAAGGTTGTTGTTATTGTTACAACAAAATTGAATGCAGTTCCCAGTGTAGTTTAATGTTTGTATTGTGACAGTTTTCCCATGTGTAACAGAGTTACACGGACAATGAGTCATAAAGTTCTTTAAACTAAAATCTTCAAAACACTTAATGTTTCTGGCAAAGGTGCACAAGGTAAATGGCATGTATACCAATGAGCAGTGCCATATATTTGCTATTAAAGCAACTTTGTGTTAAACCAAACAACACTTTGCAAAACAATTTAAAAAATAACCAAAAAGTGAATTTTTGGGGAAAATGTTTGCCCATTTTTATGCCACCTGAAACCCTATCTAGAAAAAACAACTTGTGATGAAAATACATGGTATGTACATTTACATGTACACAAAACAAAATTGGCAACAGTTTAAAAGAAACCTTTACTAACAAAAAAATGGCATGCATAGAACCATCATATTTACACATCAAATAAATTGCTGCACCACTGCACAAATTGAGTCTGTACACGTCAAGTAGTAATTCAAAGCAAAAATCATTTTTATTTATTGCATGAATTATCAATTACATATCAGCAAGTTTTGAATTTGTTTAGACAATTTTGAAATTTTGACCACCATGTCACACATTTGGCCCCCTGTTTAAAAGAAAGGCCCATGTACATGTACACGTACATGCTCATTTGTTGCTGTGCATGGAATGCATACATGTACAATGTACATGTACATGTACACCACACTTCACAGTGCAAATGCAGTCACACACACATAGGCCAACACCTACGTACAGGTACTTGTATGATGATCATCATGCATGTGTACAGTGTTTCATGTGCATGTAAATCAATGCTGAACAACGCTTAGCACCTCCTACCCAAGATAAATAATTGTTCAAGACTGACTCAGCCGTGGGGCAGAAGAGCAAAGCTTCAAGTTCAGCAGGGATCACTTATGATAATGATCCCGATCCTGGTATAAGATGTACTGTACCAGTAGGAAGTCTATAGCTCCGTGGCTGTGCTTGCATATTGTATACATGTGCATGTACATGTATGTTCACTACATGTGTACATGTATAAAATTGTACCGCATACCCATGCACATACTGGTACTTGTACATGTGTAACTCTGTACATTGTATTTCCCAGAACTTTTCAACTTGCCAAGGATTCCTGTATCCTTAAAAATTCAGTATTGACCAGCATTTCTGTAACATTCTGTTGCACTTAGCTGTTCTAATTACAGTTATGAACATGTAAGTGTTGTATTTCTAATTATTCTGTTGCCCTTAGGTACTTCAGGCCTGCTAAAATGCTTGTACCCTTCCCAGACAATGGACTTACATGTAGATGAACAGGAACTGTACATGTAGATACGATGTGGTAGACTGGTTTTGTTGAGAAACTATTGGGCAATATCAGCAGTGGTCAGGTACATGTGGCATGCATCTCACTAGTCTCCTCTTAAACATAGAGTGCTTTAACAGTGATCTCTGGTTAGCCAGTATACCATGCTAGTTTACTTCTGGTTGTCTTTATTGACTGGTTTTGTTGTGGTTTGTCTTGGCAGGCACGCATAGCCTTTTTACAAGGAGAGAGGAAGGGTCAGGAAAACCTCAAGCATGATTTGGTCCGCAGAATCAAAATGTTGGAATACGCTCTGAAACAAGAGAGGTAAGGTACAGTGTACAGTTCACGTCACATTCATACAAAGTTTCACTTATTCTCACCGTATTCTCATGTTTCAGAAGTTTNCACATAGGCTTGCATATGCAGAACCCTGGTTGTAAACAAAAGAGTTCGTGCATCTTCCAACATTCGCCCGAGTCGGGATCATATTGCAAGCCTGCATGCACCGCCACGTGATCGTCATATGACACAGACATGCCAAGTTCCCGCCATTCCTTCATCGTTGAGAAATTTTGATCAAAGTTTTCGTTACTCGCACGTTATGCTATGACAAAAAGTTACGGGTTGCGGGTTTCTTCTCAAGACATGAAGGTAAAATTTACCTGAAACTTAACTTATTTGCCAAAAAAAGGAGCAAGATAGCCACTTAAAACTAACAAATTAAAAATGAGCGTATGGAAGAAAGGAAACAATTTCCCCCTTCGCATTGGAAACATTTGTCATCTAGCCGGAAGTCGCAAGTTTTTTTTTGCGAGTTTACCTGTATGCTAATGTTTGTTGACGATGTCACGACATGCCGGCCTAGCGGTCCATTCACAGACAGCAGACATGAAAGGTTGTTGTTATTGTTACAACAAAATTGAATGCAGTTCCCAGTGTAAATTAATGTTTGTATTGTGACAGTTTTCACATTACACATGAAATAAGTCACAAAGCTCTTTAAACTAAAAACTTTTAAACACTGTCAAAGGTGCACAAGCTAAATGGCATGCTTACCTATGAGCTGTGCCATATATTTGCTATTTAAGCAACTTTGTGTTAAACCAAACAAAACTTTGCAAAACAATTTAAAAAATAGCCAAAAAGTGAATTTTGGGGGAAAATGTCTGCCCATTTTTATGCCACCTGAAACCCTATCTAGAAAAAACAACTTGTGATGAAAATGCATGGTATGTACGTACACACAAAACAAAATTGGGAACAGTTGAAAAGAAACCTTTACTAACCCAAAAAAAATGACATGCATAGAGCCATCATATTTGGTTTCTCTGTTACACGTCAAATAACTTGCTGCACCACTGCACAAATTGAGTCTATACACGTCAAGTAGTAATTCAAAGCAAAAATCATTTTTATTTATTGCATGAATTATCAATTACATATCAACAAGTTTTGAATTTGTTTAGACAATTTTGAAATTTTGACCACCATGTCACACATTTAGCCCCCTTTTTAAAAGAAAGGCCCATGTACATGTACACGTACATGCTCATTTGTTGCTGTGCATGGAATGCATACATGTACAATGTACATGTACATGTGTACATGTACACCACACTTCACAGTGCAAATGCAGTCACACACACATAGGCCAACACCTACATACAGGTACTTGTAGGATGATCATCATGCATGTGTACAGTGTTTCATGTGCATGTAAATCAATGCTGAACTTCGCTTAGCACCTCCTACCCAAGATAAATAATTGTTCAAGACTGACTCAGCCGTGGGGCAGAAGAGCAAAGCTTCAAGTTCAGCAGGGATCACTTATGATAATGATCCCGATCCTGGTATAAGATGTACCAGTAGGAAGTCTATAGCTCCGTGGCTGTGCTTGCATATTGTATACATGTGCATGATGTACATGTATAAAATTGTACCACATACACATGCACATACTGGTACTTGTACATGTGTAACTCTGTACATTGTATTTCCCAGAACTTTTCAACTTGCCAAGGATTCCTGTATCCTTAAAAATTCAATATTGACCAGCATTTCTGTAACATTCTGTTGCACTTAGCTGTTCTAATTACAGTTATGAACATGTAAGTGTTGTATTTCTAATTATTCTGTTGCCCTTAGGTACTGCAGGCCTGCTAAAATGCTTGTACCCTTCCCAGACAATGGACTTACATGTACATGTACAGGAACTGTACATGTACATGTAGATACGATGTGGTAGACTGGTTTTGTTGAGAAACTATTGGGCAATATCAGCAGTGTTCAGGTACATGTGGCATGCATCTCACTAGTCTCCTCTTAAACATAGAGTGCTTTAACAGTGATCTCTGGTTAACCAGTATATCATGCTAGTTTACTTCTGGTTGTCTTTATTGACTGGTTTTGTTGTGGTTTGTCTTGGCAGGCACGCATAGCCTTTTTACAAGGAGAGAGGAAGGGTCAGGAAAACCTCAAGCATGATTTGGTCCGCAGAATCAAAATGTTGGAATACGCTCTTAAACAAGAGAGGTAAGGTACAGTGTACAGTTCACGTCACATTCATACAAAGTTTCACTTATTCTCACCGTATTCTCATGTTTCAGAAGTTG